AAGAGGTGTTAATATGATGTTTTCCTTAAGAAACCACATTATCAGTCCTTTGATAACGTCTTCAGGTATTATTCCTGACTCCTAATTATTCTTGTGGGTTTGAAAAATTGTAAGCGAGAGGACTTGGCTTAGCTATCCAGTCTAAGTCCCCTATAAATGATGAAAGCTGCAAGAACAGAACAGTTAATGGGATTGCTCTGGTTCTGGAAGATTTCTCTGTAGGAAAAATTCCGGGGGTGTAATCTTGATGATGATCTGTAAGGCTGAGAGGTGGATCATGTCACTGGACTCGGAATTCCCTGGAAACAAGTGCTGAGTAAATGTGAGCTCGGTGCCCTCTCCAATATCCTCAGAACATTCCTGCCGAACGTGGACGAGGGGGAGAGACATCTACAGTGATTCTCAAGCACAAGATGAGGCACGAAGATCCAAAGCTACAGGGTCATATACAAAACCTGCGGACAACAATCAGCATTTGCTAAATACTTTCTTTTAAAAAATGCACTCCATGGTGCTGGAGAAGAGGACTGAATATACCATGGCCTGGCGGGAGAACAAAGAGATTCGTCCTGGAGAGGGTGAAACCAGGCTGCTCCTTGGAGGCAAAGATTCCAAGGATTCATCTGACATACTCTGGCCATGTTCAAGGAGGGACTAGTCCTTGGAAAAGGACAGCATGCTTGGAAGGGCGGAAGAACAGTGAAAGAGAGGAAGACCCTCGGAGAGATGGACTGTCTCAGTGAGTGGGGTAATGAAGGTAGGTATGTCAGAGACAGTAAGTTTGGCACAGGACAGAGCAGGTTTCAGGGCTACTGTACATGGGGATGCTCACAAGAGACCCCACAGTGTATAACAACAACAATTATGATCTTTGTTTTTAAATCTTTGAGTGCTTTGAAAAAACACTCAAAGAGAAGAGCTCCTGCTACAGTCATGCAGAGCTCAAACAAACACTGTCACTAATGGACTTTTTCGTGTTTAGGAATTGTTTATACATTTTTCTCCCTGCTCTTGAAGGGAAACCACGGTTTCGCTGCCTATATGCTCCGTAAAGCACCTATTACATATACAGTCTGCACGGTGGATGATTTATACAGCATCACCTGAACACCTACCATGTAAGTACTGTACCAAGAACTGGAGAAAAGGAGAGGTGATACATACACAATCCACTTTCTCATGCTAAAGGAATCTAATCGAGCTCGCTGAACAGACCACATTTCGGGGAAAAAAAACCGGCACAATTTGGCAATGGTAAAATGCAAATCAGCACTTAGAAGTAAATGTTCAAAGTACCAAGTGAAATTATTGTTTTAGCTTTTTACCTATGCTCATTCTCCTCTCTTTACATAAATAATAGAAGACTTGCTGGTCTAAGAAACGGCCTTATCTGGCCTGACACGTCATACTAAGGACAAACAGAATCCAAACACACAGACTGCTAAAGTGGTTGGCTGTTTGTCCTCCCCGCGGCGACCTCTGACCAAGATGACTTATGACAAACAACGTGGTGACACCACAGCTTAGTCAGGTCGCTGGCACTCTCCATTTACTAGCTGTCGGAGGACTGCAGAATGGGCATAATGATAGACATTTAGCGAAGCGATGGGGGAAGGCATGGTAACACTCGTATTCCTCACCATTAGCTCACGAGAACAGTTCTCTTTCACCTCACCTGCACTAGGTAACACAACCACAACCCAAACTAGCTGCCGTTAATTCTGTCCCCAAAAGATGAAGCAAAACTTTATTCCTCTGGAATTTCTAAGGCTGTGTATGAACCTAACTCCCTTGTTCACTGCCAGTGAGTCTGAACTCATTTCCAGTTGATTCTTCATCGGGTTTCTGAGGTTGTAAAGTGCTCATCTTTCTGGCATGCAGCCACTGGGAGATTTGAACCACCAGCGACAATGCCTGTGGGGTAACAGCAGAAGTCCTTGATGACCACCAGTCAGCCACACGTGGCTGGGTGGATGAGGGGGACGGGAGTGGATTTTCGGCTGAAACATCTAAAAGGTGAAACTGGAAATCCAGCTGTCCTCTGTACAAAGGACCTACTATGGACCAACCACCTCAGGCCCAAGCCAGTGAGGGAGGAAAGAACCACAGACCTTGTTTTCCCCAATCCCTCTGACAGGTCTGCTACCCGTACTAGTCTAAAGAAAACCAGTAAAAGTTGGTCTTTAGTGCTATTTAGAAGCTTTTTCTCCTGCCATCTGATATTAAACCAAAGGGTCTTTTCACCTGCTTAAGGCTGAAATCAACTTATGTTGCCCTCAAACCAACTTTGACACCATATCCACCCAAATAGTCCTTAAAGATCATAAAGCCAAGAGAAACACTGAGTTGGCTCTTCTATACCGTGTACTGTGTTGTTACAGTCGAAACCAAACAATAGCTGATTCTCCAGCAGGGTTTTAAAAGAGGCTGCAAATCATAAGAGAGATTATCCATCTCCTTTTTTGCAGAGTCACTGGTGAATATGAACCATGTGCCCTTGGGGTGGCAGAGCAACAACCTGACCAGTAGGCCACAACAGCATCTATGCAACGTGTTAGAATTTTCAAATGCAGGATGTTGGTTTTGGATAAAAAGAATCACAAGAGAGCGATCAAAGCAGTAAGACTTTGTAAACTGTTGGTGTTGATAAGAGCTGGGTCTCTTGCATTTCTCTTTCCTTTAATTGGGCTTTAACCAGTCTGACTTGCAGAACTTGAAGAAATGACGACTCAGGTGATTAGCTGAACACAAACCACAGGAGGGTGCTGTGGACGATATAAAGTGTTGCAAAGTGGAAGAAGGGCAGGGCAGGTGCCAAGCTATGTATATACTCACATCTTTCTCCTGGATGGTGCATTCCTTACAATAATAGGCATCAGAGACTCCAGGGCCTCCGCAAATCACACAGCGCCCCTGGTAAGAGCCGTAATTACATTCATCACATATGCGCACCAGGGTGCAGGGGCGCACATAGGAGTCACAGATCACACATTTGCCATCACCTGTGAGGAGAGAACGGCATTAGGTTCATCTTCAGGTACCTCTGCTCCTATGTGCTTTGACCTCCTCCTGCTCTGAGCTGTTACCAGCTCCCTCTGGATGGTGAGTTTAGGCTCTTTTCTATGTTGACTTTACCCACTGTCCACCTCAATGCCTGTAACGCTTACAACATATACCAAGTGTTATAAGGTTAGCTTAGAATAACTCTTGGTAGACAATTTAAAAAACCTGAATCAAATCCAGTGCCATGTGTCAATTCCAACTTACAGCAACTGTGCAGAACAGAGTGGTTATGTCCTGTGGAGCTGGAGCCAACCCATAGCTGACCCTCCAGCAGGTTTTCAGGGACAGTAAATCCCATGGGGGGAAGACTGCCCATTCCTCTCTCATGGTGCAGCTGGATTGGAACCATCTGCCTATGGCACTGCAACATAGCTTCTTTTATTTGTGTGTATGTGTGTGTGTGTGTGTGTACCATCAAATCAGATCTGACTGGTACAGGAGGAAACTGTCCCTCCTTCTCCAGCAGAACATCTGGTGGATTCGAACCACACACCTCTGGGATCGCAGTGCAGCAACACAGCTTCAGCCAAGGCCACTGGAGCTCCCCAGAACAGAGTAGACCTGCCCATCTGGTTTCTAAGGCTGGAATCTTTCCAGAAGCTGATTATCTCATCTTTCTCCTCCCGAGCAGTGGGGTGGAACCTGATCTTTCCGTTATATGGTGACTTTTTCAAGCACCGAGCCCCTAAGGCTCCTATGGTAACTCGATTTAATGCCAGCAATAAAGCTGCATGCTATCGGGAAGGGAGTTAACATTACTCCAGCGACTCTTTCACGTCTGAAGCTGGAGATTTCCTAAAAACCTAAAAATAGTGTTTACAGCGTGCCTGTGTCTCCATGCTTCTGGTCCCAACTATTCCAAGCCCTGTTTATGGCACCGCTATAAACGCAGTCTCCACCGAGCGGGAGGATGAAGAGCTGGAAGGGCGTATTTTACTTACATTTTTCACACAATCTCCCGATGGCTGCAAAAGCAAAGATAAAGAACACCATTAGAATGAAGGTTTTGACAAAGACGGGCAGGGCATGGTCGGGCTGGGGTTGGAGCAGGGACTAGGGTAAACTCAAAGGGACGGCCATCTCATGCTCGTAAACGTCCTCCGAAACAAAGCTGCAGTCACGATAAGCTCCTGAGTTTACCTCCTTGCAGGCCTGCAGGAACGGGAGACAGCGCTTCTCGGGCCCTCGGCTCAGCCTGACACCACCAGCCTCGCCGCCCACCTGGAGATCCCACCCCGCGCGCTCCTGCACTACCCAGCGACCCGGAGGCGGGAAACGTAGAGGCTCGGGGCCAGGTGCTCGGAACAAGCAAGAACTCACAATTCCCCAGCTCCCAACACCACTTCTACCCAGAAATCCGGGGGCACAGCGCCGACTCACCCACACCAGCCTGCTTGCGGCAAAAAATCAGATCCGGATGGTGTTTAGCCATCTCTTCGACTCAAAACGGCCACCGGAAGCTCCCTGGATTTCCGCCTGGCCTTTCACGCTCATTGTCCCGCCTCGTCGTCGTGATTGGCTCTCGAGACTTCCGTCAAGGCGTTCACGATCTTTGCACGAAAGTCCCGCCTGCTCTCGCGAGATCAAAAGCGCACACGTTCTAAGTGGCATTTCAGTGGCGCCTGCGCCGTCAGGTCCTGGCAGGTGCGCGAAAATCCTAAAAAGTAGTACGTTTTCTGGATAAGGGTGGCAAATATAACCTCAGTTAAATTTCTTTTTTATGAGATATCTTTGCACGTTCACTCAATGACTGGAAGTGTTCTGAAGCGATCTTTTGCCCTCTCACCAACTCGTTCCTAACAGAGGAGTTGCGTCTCCTGTTCCCAAGGTCCCGGCAGCGCGAAGGACACACCCACTCGTTACGTAGTCTCACAAGGCCACGCCCCCTCGACTGAAGCTCTTAAATAGGCCGCGTCCCGCGTCACTTTCACGCGACCTCATCTTTGTCAGTGCACAAAATGGCGCCTTATAGCCTCCTGGTGACCCGGCTGCAGGTGAGCGAGCTCAGGGCCCTCAGGGTTCACGGGGGCGGAGTGCCTCCTGCTGTGCCTGCGGCTGTGGGCGAGACTCGGCGAGGCCGGCCCGATTCTGGCCAGGCTTTGCGCGCGTCTGTCCCGGCAGCGGGCACACCGGTCATGAGCGCCCGAGGTCAAGGCGTCCCCGGCTCCGGTAGCTGCCCAGGCCCTTTCCGCCTTCGGTGGAGAGCGTGGACCGAAGCGGCGGCGGCAGGGCGGGGAGTGCAGGCTCATCGTTCCTCTTGTTGAAGACCGCATTTCTCCCGCTTCGGTAGGGTTTCCACTTTCCGATCTTCAAGGTGAAGACAAGGTGACTGGGGGGCGCGGTCAAGTGTACCAACCGTTAGGCCGAGGGCTTAAAGGACTCACTTCCCTTCCCAGCATCAGAGACTTGCTAGCCCGTTGTGCAGACCTGGAGTCGAGAAGAAACTCGTTCCCCATCCTGTCCTTTGAGAACCCTGCAGAATTGACAGCAAGAGTGGGTGCTTCCAGCCCAACAGCACCCAGTAGTAGTGGTAATAATAGTAATCGTCTGCACGGGATTGCGAGCCTTTTAATTCCTCACTGCATCTTATTTTTTAGAGCTTTATAAAGTCGATACAAGTTTACAGAGTAATTTGTTTCCCATTCAATTCAGACACATTTTGTTTCTTGATCTCATCATGTCATTTGAGTCCAACAGTCCTGTGAGATAGGTTTGAGATGATAATTCTCCTTTGAGAGACGGCTGCAGAGTTTAAGCCGAAGTTCTGCTTCAAGGTGGTCCCTGTGGTGCTGTGTGCTGACCGCCTGCCCTCCTCCCGTGTCAGCTCGCCCTCAGAGAACGCTGTGTCCAGATTCACATGTGTGATACAGAGGGCAGCATTTTGAGGTCCCTGTTAGTTGCATTTCGAGTAACAGAGGGGAGGATAAGGAGAATGGACAGTTTGACCTTGACACTCCAGCTGTGAACCATGCAGAGAGTTGACCGGCTGTGACTACCAAATGGCATTTTCACTCCTAACTCGGCCAGTCCTTGGAAGGTGTTACACTCAAAGGGTCACTATTAGGATTGCATTTTGCCAGTAAAAATAAAGGAAGCAAGCGTTTGTAGACATTTTCTTTTTATATGAATAAACCTTTTATATTTTTTAATCAAGTTGACAACTTGGATTATAAATTTAAAAGTAGTGTATTCTCAAGAAGCACTGTGTTACCTTTCATCATGAAGTGACTTTTCACCATGTTTCCTGGGTTTAAGCTGGCTTAAAAGTGATAGGTCATAATTTACTGTAAAATATTTACGATCTCACAGTTTTGGGTGATGGTATACAATTTGCATTTAATTTTCTCTTAAGGTCTTTGATTCTCTATGTTGGTGATGTGAAACAGTTATTCCTTCCTAGTCTTCCTGTAACATGACATAGTGCAGTCAGGCTAGATTACTTGATAAGATAAATGATTGCAAATGTATTGAGCTTGGACAAAGAGGTATGTTAACATTTGAGAACTGAAAATGTGAATGTTAACCTGGTGCAGAAATTTCATGCTTCACCACAGCCCATACCTTTCCTGATTCAGGCCATGGTCTTTCCTATCACTTGGTATGCATCTGAGCTGCACAGTGAATAAAGATAACAGAAGAAGAATCAATGCCTTTGAACTGATCTGTGGCATTGGAGAAGAGCACTGAACATCCCATGGTCCGCCAAAAAAAACAAACAAATATGTCTTGAAGAAAGTGCAGCCAGAGTACTACTTGGGGGCAAAGGTGACGAAGCTTCATCTCCCATGCTTCCGACATGTTAGGAGGGGCTCTTACCTGGAAAGGGACGTCATGCTAGGAAAGGCAGTTTGGTGAAGGAGAGAAAAGACCCTCAACCAGGCGCATTGACATAGTGACTGTGACAGAGGGCTCGAGTTGTGTCAGGAAGTGTGAGGATGGCACAGAATAAGAGAGGGTTCAGATTTGTTATTCATAGGGTCACACTCGACTCACTGACATCTTACAACCGCAGCTCTGGCCCATTGACCTTGAAGGAGTAACTTCCCAAATCTCAGTTTCTTCATCTGTCATTTAGAGATGGTCTTTATTTACAGATTAGGTAATCCTTATAGCGTATGGATTGTAGAGTGATCTTCTTTTCAGATTTTTAAAAAAATGATATTGAATAAGTAAATATATTTGTTTTTAATCATCATAGAGACCAATCTCCTCTTTTATAGATGGAGATTCCAAGACCTGGAGAAACATGAGTGGCTCCCAGGAATAGTCCAGCTACCCTGCAGCAGAGCGAGGATTAAAATAGATCTCTTTATCCATTTGCACAGCTAAAAGGAATGAATAAAATTTCCCTTTGCATTTATACTACCTGCCCACTTCCCAGGAGCAAGGTTATCTCAAGTGATGACCAGCTAGCACTGTCCTTAGGGAACTTGTTTGTTGAGGTACATTTGAGAAGGGATAGTTGCTATCTTAATTATTTCTTGGCAGAACCCTCTCTGTGGATCTAACCCATTCCTCCTCCATTCACCACAAATCTGTGGTGCTCCCACTGCTTGCTGCAGATTCCATGGTGAGCCATGCAAACCATGTCTAGTCTGTGGCACTTCCAGTAAATTCTACTCCAGAGCTCTTGGAGATCCTTGTCAGCCAAAATATTCTTTACTCCAGCTAGGTCAAAGGGAACAGATAATAAAATGATGACTATGCTCACCACCACTGGGACCTGTTAATATTAGCTTATTGTGTATCAGTAATTTCACGTGACCCTGCAAGATAAGGCAGACCTGTTAACCCTGTTTTTGAGATGAAGAAACGGACCATTTGAGAGGGAGCATACTATGAGAGATCTCTGGTGACGTTGTCCAGAGGGAGTTGCACAGCTAATCCAGAGGCACTGCCTTTCTGGTGGTGTGAGTCCACCATCAGCTCTGAGAGAAAGATGGGTAGCTTCCTCCCATGTGGTTTATAGCCTCCAAAAACCTGCTGGAGGACCAGCTATGAGTTAGTTCCAGCATGAAGGCAATGAGTTGACTTTTCTATTGTAATAATAGAGCAGGGGTGGAGGCATTAAGAGGCCTGGGTTTGAATCCTGACTCCTAATATTCACTAGCTGTAACTTTGGATTCATTACTTCTTTGAGCCTGTTTCTATGCCTATAAGATACGGATAATAATAGTACATCTGTCTTACTAATCCTCTGTACTTGTACTGTGAAGTCCCTAGATCATGTAAATGATTAAGTATTTATTAGACTGAAAGGTTGGTGGATCTCGCCACCACCCGCTAAATGGGAGAAAGGTTAAAATCGACTTCTATCCAGATCCACAGGTTTGGGAGCTGCGGGGCATGTCTCTATCTTGTGGGGTCCTTAGGAGTCAGAATCAACTCTTATTGATTTGAATGGGTGGTGCAAGTAGCTAATATACCTGGTGATTAACCGAAAGATCGGATTAAGTCAGTCACCCAGAAGCTCCTCAAAAGAAAAGATCTGACGGTTTTCCTACAGAAAATCAACTCTTGGAAACTCTGTGGTGTGTACATAGAATTGACTCAATAGCTACTACATTTTTGTTTTTTAAAAAATAAATTACTTAGAAGTACTAAATACTTGTTTGTTAAAATAAACTACATAGGCATTATCTTTCACTGTTAGCAGGTGTGATTTGAATCTGCAGCTTTCTGGTTTTAATGTCCAAGGTCCTAGCCATTGTACTATATTCTTTCTCTTTACATCAAGGTCACCTATTGAGCAGGAGGGACCAGTCATTGGGAAAAGACCACATGCCACTGATACTTGGTAACCTGAGAATAGTACTTTCTAACTTGAATGTGTTCTGTTACTAGGCAGTTCCTACTACTGGGTTGACATGGTCCTTGGAGGCAAGGATTTTGAAGCTCCATCTCACATACTTTGGGCATGTTGCTGGGAGGGGCCAGTCCTTGGAGAAGGACATCATCCATGGAAGGGTGTAGGGACAACACAGGAGAGGAATACCTTGGATGAGATTGACACAGCAACTGGGGTAATGGGGGTAGGTGTGTCAGAGACAGTGAGTGAGATTGGCTCAGGATAGAGCAGGGTTCAGAGCTATTGTGTATAGGGTCACTATGAGTCCCAGGCAACTCAACAGCACATAACTACTAGGTGGTGAGATTGGAAACAGTGAAGCCATACCTACTATAACTTTTAATACTTGTTTTTGTGCAAAGAAGTGTGGATGGCGAATAAAAGGAATTGGGCACTTGCAAATAAATCTCTTAGGTCTTTGGTATTGCCTTGAAGTGCTGGAGTGCTAGTTCTCATGTGACCTGGGGGGCGTCTGGTAACCTCTTGCATGTGACTCTGAGATGACAACTAACTACAAAGATTTCTGCCCCATTGGGCAAGATGCCTTTTTGCTATCATACCTCCTTGGTTGTCACATTATTGACTGTCAGTATGGAATAAATGAATAAACTGAGTCAGTTTGAGTCAATTTCCAACCTTAAATTTTAGTGAGAGAGTAGAATCACCATGCTGAGGACTAGGGAAGCCTTCTCAACCAGCTGCTCCCAAAATGCTTATCAAACGTTTATGCCTACCACTGTTTTAGACACTGGGAATGTAGTTGTTGCTCGGTGCCATTGAGGCCACTGTGACTCAGCCAATAGCAGGTCTGAGCCTGACCCTCTCACGCCGTCCTTCCCCACTATCTCTGACACGCTTGTGCTCATTGTTGCAGTCACTGTGTCAATTCACGTTGTTGAGGATCTTCCTCTCCTCTTATCCATCACCTCTCTCAACATGATGTCTTTTTCCAAGGACTGATCCCTCCTGACAACATGCCCAAAGCACGTGAGATCAGTTTCACCATCCGCGCCTCTGAGGAGCACCCTGGTTGTACGTCCTCCAGGAGAAGACTTGTTTGTTCTTTTGGCCGTCCATGAGATAGTCAATACTCTTTTTCCAAAACTACAATTCAGAATAATCAGTGAGTCTTCTGTTATGAAGACA